ACAAATTCTAAATCTGTCAAATTTAGTTTTCTTTCTTGCTATTCTTTATAAAAAGTCAACAGCTTCTTTGGAGACCATACTTTCCATATTCAAAATTATGTACCTTTCATTAGAATCACTTCAAAGTTTAAACGGTGACATTTTTAGATATCTTAATATGTTAAAAAAAAACAACAAAAACTGACCTCTGTTCTAGCTCCTCATTAAACTCGAGTTTATTAATTTGTGTCTTAGCATTAAACTATCAGTCTACAATGAAATGGCTGAATTAATGTATTTATTATAAAGTAGTTTTGTCCCTCTTAAAGAAAATCCTAATAAAAAATTTCTCTCACAATTACATTTTAGGACCTGCTTTGAATTCTTTTAATTATTACATAGGACAAAAGAGAAAGTGACACCTAACCCATGCCATTAAGAAAGTTTTTTTGTTTTGTTTTTATATTGTGACCACCCCTAGATATATCCTGTCTCCAACACCCTGGGCAAAGAACAGGCCTGATCATTAAAAATAGCTCACAGAGAAGTAGAAGATAACCACAGGGAAAAGCAGGTACTTGGACTGGTCAAGCCAGGTCTTAAGAGCTGGGATCTCAAATATTCTTTTTTCTAATGAGAGAGGTGTACCCAAAGGTACTAAACAGGGTCTATTTCACAATGACAAAGAGGGCAGTGAGTCTTCACACAGAATATTAGCTAGGGATTTCGTTCTCCAATTAAATGTTATTAAAATATTCAGGGAAAATGGGGGACATCTGTAATACTTTCAACAGTAAAGATTAAAAAAATATTAAGGGAAAACAGAAAGTATGCCCTAGACACATTTTTTGTAATACAAGTAGTAATTTTAAACAGTCAAAATGCCAGTTCGGTTCATCAATAAAAGCAGAAGCTGGTTCTTTTGAAATATATTAGATAATCTTTCAGCACATATAATCAAGAAAAAAATAAATAAATACCAGGAACAAAAAGAAGGAAATGACCACAAACAGAGGTTAAATATTTCAAAAATTATAAATTATCAGACACAATTTATACTATAAGAATATAATTTTTATCAACACTGGTCTAAATAGAAGAAATGTGTGAAAACGTTTTTTCATTTTATGATGGAAAAACTGAGAGTAGTCATAGTTCTACCCCTTCTCCCAAAAAGTCCCAGAGTTTTTTTGACTTTTTTTAAATCCTCCCCCGAGGATATATTCCTATTGATTTTAGAGAGAGAGGAAGGGAAAGAGAAAGAGAGAGAGAAATATTGTCTCAATTATGCACTCTGACCAGGACTAAATCACAACCTAAGTATATGCCCTGACCTAGAATCAAACCTGAAATCTTTTGTTGTACGGGACAACACTCCAACTGAACCACACTGCCAGGGCAAGTGTCAGAGTTTTATTATCAACTTTCACTTTTCACTTATAAGATTATCAAAAACCCATAAGTTGGGTAACGCATTCTGTTGGGGAAGCTGTGGAAAACAAATTGAAAAGCAAAGCAAAAGACCAGGAGAAAATATATACTATGTCATTTAGCAAAGATTTATTATACATTAAGACAGATAAATCAATAGAATATAAAAATGGATACTCACAATTCAGGAATTATGAATAACCAATAAACACATTTCAAAACACCTCCAATTTACAGATTTAAGAAGCCAAACAATCCCAAGCAAGATAAAGATATATTAAAGTGAAACAGTAAAAAGCTATAAACAAAGAGAAAAAAACAGCCAAAGAAAAAAATAGAGAGACTGATAGCCAACTTTTCTCTTCAATGGACTGAAAGAAAACGCCTGCCAAACTAAACTGCAAAACATCTTCCATAAATGACAGTAAAACAAAGACATTTTAAAAGCTATTCCAAAGGATGTACTTTAATTAGAAGGAAAATTGCCCTAGATGGATGGCCTAAAAAGATAAAAAGAAGCAATGAATAATAGAGAAAGCCATAAAAATGGGGAAATGTAAATAAGCACTACTGTAAAACACAATAATTCTAAACAGATCTCCCTCTGTTTGGTAAGAGTATTTTTAAAAATTTAAATATATGATAGTAACACACTCGTCATGAAGGGGTTGAATGACATTAAACTTCTAAGGTTCTTACACTAAGAGGAGGCATAAAGATATCGGTTATTTTTAGATTCTGAAAAAGTCAAAGATGCATGTTTCTAGGATAATTATAAAAAGAAAAAAAGTAAAGAATGTCCAAACAAGTATGTTAGAAAAGACACTAAGTCAATATTTTAAAAAGACAAAAAATGAGAGAAAAGAAATATAGAACACCCAAGACACACAGAAAGCACAATATAGGAACAATTGTAGTAAATGTAAATAGTTGTATGTCCCATGTAAAATTATTTTAAAATTGCATTAAAAAATTTCAACAGCTACTCTTTAAGAGACATAGCTAAAACATACAAGTGAATATGACTCTACAGCTATCTTAGAATACAGTAAACCCTCGATTTTGTGGACTTTGGATTTAACAGACAAAATTTCCCGTCCGTATGCCATATGTGAAAATTAACACTCTATTAATTTTAAAATGCTTTTAAGCAAGATTTGCTTATAATTAAATGAACAAGTTATTTTTTGGTTATTAATTCACTGTTATTTTAAACTAATTTTTGCAAACAGGCCATATGTTGGTAAAAACACTATAGTAATTTTGTCGATGTAAGTATTACATATCTACAACTATAGTATATATATTTAAATCCTAGACTCAACGCTTGTAAACAATGTTTGGAGCATGATTAGCACTTGCTCACATCACATCATGTGGTAATTGATTTTGTTGTCAGGTGGTGTGACTTTCTGCTGCAGTCTGTGCTGGCTAATGTTCAGATGTGTGCGCTAAGCCACCCCCCAGCCATGTGTACATTTGTTCACTCACAGTGACTGGTGAATGCACGCATTTACTAGATCTATTCAGTATAACTGTCAAGTTACAGTTATAGAAAACTTTAATGTGAAATTAAACTTTCACACATACTTAATTTTAATAATACAAATGTGTCTACATAAGTAAAAACAGGTAAACTAATGTGTTGATTTTTTTAACATACGTGTTCAGAAAACCTACTATGTTATATATATTACAGACTTTAATGGACTTTTGGCTTTAATGCACACACCTCGCCTGAATTAGTCCATTATATCGAGGTTGTACTCTAGTATATATTTTTTAAAATCTATTAACACATAAAGTAATATCTGATAGAGATAACCACAAAGCAAAAAAATAAAAACATAAAATTCATTGAAAAGATAATTGAAAATATAAAAGATAAGCTATAGGCAAATGAATTAACAGTAAAGGGGGGGATGGGAAACCAGAACAAAAATATTAAGTTCAGAAATGAAAAAAGGCATAATTACATATGCTTCAGACATTGATGATAAGTGGGCACTTTTAATAACTGTGCCAATACTAAACATTTAGACAATACAAACAGAGTTCTAGAAAAATCTGACTTACCACAACTGAAAAAATTTAAAAAACATCTGAGCCCTGGCAGGTTTGGCTCAGCAGTTAGAGTGTTGGCCCACGGACCAGAGAGTCCCAGGTTCGGTTCCCGCTAAGGGCACGTATCTCCCCGTTGTGGTTTGTCCCCAGCCCTGATTGGGGTTGTGTGGGTGGCAACCACTCGATGTGTACATTGATCTTTCTCTTTCTCTCTTCCCCCGTCTCTCCCTCCCACTCTATCTGAAGATAAATGCAGAAATGTCCTCAGGTGAGGATAAAAAAAAAAATATCTGAGTAGTCCTATAACCATAAAAGACATTACATCACTAGTCAAAAATCTGCTACTAGCGCCCTGGCTGGTTTGGCTCAGCGGTTAGAGCATCAGCCGGTGGTCCAGAGGGGCCTGGGTTCGGTTCCCGCTGAGGGCATGTACCTCGGTTGCACTTTGTCCCCGGCCCTGGTTGGGTCTTGCAGGTGGCAACCACTGGATGTGTCCCTTTCATGTCGATGTTTCTCTCTCTCTCTCCCTCCCACTCTATCTGAACAAAAAACGAAAAAATGTCCTCGGCTGAGGATAAAAAAAAAAAAAATCTGCCACTAGCAAAACTTCAGACCCAAAAGAGTTCAATGATTCAATGGTAAATTCTACTACAACTGGTTATCCACATAAGAATAAAGTTAAATTATATTTATATTCTAAACTACACACAAGTAACAATTCCAATTATACAGACATGAAATGAAAACTTTACAATGAAGAATTTCTCAAAAAAAAAATAAATAAATAAATAAACAAAAAAACACCCCAAAGAGAGAAAAGAAAAGGTATTTGTAACTGACTTCATATTCTTCAACCAAAACAATATATAGCAACAGACTGAATGCATAAGCAGACATGAGACTCTAGTCATTAAAGATATTTGCAAAAATGTAAAACAAAGCCATTGCTATTACTAATTTTTTTGTTTTGGAAAAGTTACATTTCATTAAAAATGTTATTATGTTAAAGTGTAATAGGTTTATTATTATTTTTATTATTGGTATAAATATACCAATTGGTGCTATATATATTATATTTAGAATTGGCAAGTTTTAATGCCTAATATGATATTACCCACATAAACAAAATATCTTTGAGGTTCTCAATAGTTTTTAAAAGTATAAAGGAGTCCTGAGACCAAAAAGTTTCTGAACTGCTGAACTATGCACACATGCTTCGATAGGGATGAACACGGGAACATAATGTTTAACAAAAGGAGTTCACAGTATGATTCTATTTAAATAAAGTTCAAACAACAGGATAAAACTGTAAAAGAAGGCAAGGGAGTAATTAACACAAAATTCAGAATGACCATGGTAATGGGGCAGGGAATACTTTGCTTCTGAGGAGAGGTACATACTAAAGGCTTCTAAGGTACTTGCAATGTTCTATTAAGCTGAGTGCACATATACTTTTCTTTTTTACAGTACACATAAATGGTATATTTCACAAAAAAATTGTTAATAGAAGAAACAAGGAGACGTACCTATTCTCCTAGAAGGAAAAACTCAAAAGAATGCCTCTTCTCAAAGTAATCTATAAATTCAATGCAATCACAAACAATATCCCAACAAGATTTTCTATAGAACTTGAAAAGATGATTCTAAATTTCATCTGGAAAAAAATGCAAAAGAAGAGCCCAAAACTTTTTTCAAAAAACAGCACCAAAATATATTATAAAGCTACAATAATTAAAACAGTGTGGTAATAGATAAATAGGGCAAAGAAAAGAAGAGTTCAGAACCAAATTAAACAAGCAAAAGATATAACCGGGCCAAAAATGTTTAACTTTCTTGTTACTCAAGGAAGACAAAATTTAAAATCACAATTTTCAATTATTAAAAAATTAGTAAGATATTAAAGAAATAAAGTTACCATCCAGTTCTGGCTAACTGAGATAAAAACACACCTTTTGAGAGAGTGAATATAAAAGGGTGCAAATCATTTGAGGTCAAGTTAACAGTATTATAATCCAGCATTCTCATAGGGAATAATTTCTACAGAAATACTATCATGAGCATATAAAGCATTGCTTATAACAGCAAAAAAGATAATCACTGCAGCATCTCAGTTATAGGGAAAAATGTGAAAATAACAAACATCCATTCATAGAGGGATGACTCATTTGATAAACAGATGCCTTTAGTTAACTGCATTGATAAACACTGCATTATTTAACAAATGACCATGTTTCAGGCCAAGTTTTTAGGTACTGTGGACTTTAATTCATTTAAGCAACTATGTCTGGATTACAGTAGATGTTCACAATCCAGCTCTTTTTAGAGAATTGGTAACATTTGGGCAAATATCCTGAAAACACAAAATTTGAAGTACTGTTCTTTCTTTCCTAAAATAATTGTATACAAACACTTAGTCACTTTTTAACTTTTCTTTAATCTGGGTTATTTACCCATGTACTGAACATATCCAGTTCTAGAAAGCAGTTTTTCAACGCTAGAGTATTCTTACACTATTAAAGAACATCTGCTTTGTTATAAACCTCCTAAGTAGGCTTACTACCAATCTCAGATTCTATAATATTAAATATCATATACACACCCTTTTCCCTTCTAATAACTTTTTCAGGGGAACATTGTGGGCCCTTAGATCACTAATGATACAACAATAACACCATAAACTTGCATAACAAATACTTAAGTTTAGAACACATTTCCATAAGCCTTACCATTCTAATTTTACCTTACAGCAAGAATAAAGAAGGGTCTGGGTGGTGTATTTAAATTTTTGGATTTCAAATAGACAAATGGTGATTAAATTAAACTTGAGAATCTTCAAAGTATCTTTCCTTTAAAAAATTTTTTTTTCTTTATTGATTTTAGAGAGAGAGAGAGGAAGAGAGAGGGAGAGAGAGGTAGAAACATTGATGAGAGAGAATATCAATGTTTCTGCAGGAGGCGACTGGCCGCTTCCTGCATGCCCTCCACTGGGGATTTGGCCCACATCCTGGGCATGTGCCCTGAACCAGGGACCTCATGGTGCAAGGGTCCACGCTCAACCACTGGACCACACCGGCGGGGCATCAAAGTATCTTCCTCAAATTTTGAGATTAATTTGCCAAGTTATCCCACAAAATGAGGCTTGGTGCCACCCTCAAACAAACAGCGGGGTTGCTTGTACCAACTTATTGGCATTCCTTACACACTACTTCAGTTGTTTGCTAAATAACCCTCTTTATAGGTAGATCCTTTTATACTTAATTTAAATAAGAAAGGGTCATGCACTGGCATGAAGTCTCTACAGAAAGAACTCGTGGTTCAGGGTTTATATTATTTAACAGCTAGTCCAAATCAAATGAGCAAAGGTTTAACCAAGTATTTATGATGTCCATAAAGATTAAGCTGTCCTCTAACAAGCAACCCAAAGGAAATACTTAAACCGTTCTAGATTTTCTGCCTCAGAAAGGGGAAAGGTAAATTCTGAAATCCTATACCAATTTGTAAAATGCTGACTTCCTAGCTACAAATTAAGATGCTACTGAGAATGGCCACAGCTGGTAAAACATGGAGAAATTTAAAAAGCAGCAAAGCAAAAATGATTCTGAAAACCATTGTCCCCTCCCACCCCACTCACCCAAGACCAGGGCAAACAGGCAAGAATGCGGTAGTCATTCATCATTCATAAAAAACATGTAAATTGCAAATTAAAAAATTTAAATTACAATAGCCAAGTCACAAACGCCCAAGCAGCTACGCCAGGCATCATAGCCAGGTGTCTAAAAAGGTCCACAAAACCGAGGCTTCCACACGGGGAAGTTTTACCTGTCTTTTGTCCTGCCGCTGCCCCCGAGAATCTGGGATTATTCTTCAGTTTCTCCCCCATGCTTTTATATGTTGTCGGCTCCTCACACGCGTGCAATTCCTTTCTCTCGATCTCTTACGGCCGAATGTGACAGATATATTCGGACCTTGTTAATAAGCCGCTTTCTTTGCCTCCTTCCCGCCAAGGGAGCCCTCGAGTTGCCTTTTTGCAGGACTCTCCTCCTCCCGGATCTCCAAAGCGCACCCTGGACCCCCGGTTAGCACAGGCTCATCAGAGGCGCGCAGGACCCACCACGCCGCAGCCCGTCCTTCCTATCCGCCCTCGTGCCACGAACTTGGGGAGGGCAGCCCTGGCCTTGCAAGGCGGGCCCTAAGCGTAGGCGGGAGGGACACGGCCCAGCGTCCAGGCTCGGAGCCCGCAGGCCCCGCCGCGCTAGTCAGCCAAGCGTCGTCCCTCCCTCAGAGAATCATAGGAAGGAACCGACCCTCAGACTCCTCACGGCCAGAGGGAACATGTCGACTCTCAGTGACGGCGCTGGCAACCGGAAGTAAAACCCCGCGGCCTCAGGAAGGGGGGGAAGAGAAAGTGAAAACTGAACTGTGGCGTACCCACTAAAGGTAGAAGCCAATCACTGAAGAGAAGCCAACGCGCAGGCGCAGACTGCGGCCGCTGTCCACGCGGCACTCGCCTCTCGCCTCTGCGCAAGCGCGATGCCGCAGAGCGCTCCAGGATTGGATGACGGGACCTGGCGCGCGTAGCGTCCCGGCGGGTCTTCTCGCGGGGCTGGTGCTTTGTCGGGAGAGGAAAACGCGGCGCGAAGACACGGAGACGGCGTTGTGACTGGCTTACGCGGTCTGTGGGAGTTGCTTGGTCTATGGTGTGGTGTCTTTGCCTCTCCTTTCGTCGCCTGCTGAAGCTGGCCCGGTGACGCTTATTTTGTCTTACGCAGAAGCGACATTTACAAAATCTCGTCCTTGTAACTTAATAAATGTTAAATCCATGTAACATTTGTTTCCGTGGTAGTACCCTAGGGAATCACCTCTAGAAGTTTATAATCTATGCAGAGAACCGAAGGGACCACGAATAGCATTAATTCTACCAGTGAGAGGTATTAAGTGCTACACGTGACACCGTGAACCAACCACCAGGGCCTGCACCACATGAGGGGTATAGGAAGATTTATTCATTAAATAGCATCTTTTCCTTTTTACTGTGGCCAGGTGCTGAATTAGGCACTAGAATTACAGTCGTGTACAAACTATACAAGGACCTTGCACATAATGAAATTTATTCTAGAGGTGGATGACCAAGAGGAGTAAATTACTGCTGTCACCACCATCACAAAAATAGAATTTGATTTAATAGTGCTGTTGTGAAACCAAGCTGGAGATGGAGGATGGGGTTGGAGGCTGGAGGCCAGTGGCAGAACAGGCAGAGATACAAGATCTCACTGAAAAGGATTTTCTGGTCAAACCTCAATGATAAAAACAGACCAAACTAGTCCTTGGAAAATGTGGAGGAAGAACTTTTCAAGCAGAGGACAGAACAAGTGAAAAGACCTTAGAAGTGAAATTGAGTGTGTTCAAGAACTGAAAAAGGTTGTAGAAACAATAAAATAGAACAGATATTTTGAGATACACAAAACCAAAACATACAATTCTCTGATTTGTCACAAAGCAAATACTTATGAAACCACCAACCTGGTCAAGAAATAGAACATTGTCAAAATCCCAGAAGCTCCTTCTTGTGCTACCTCCCAATCAATACCCACCTCCTTTCCCTATCATCAAACCTAACCACTACTCCAATTTCCATGGTAATCTCTTCCTTACCTTTCTTAGTAGGTTTTGTGGACCCTGAGAATGTATCTACCAAAAAGGGCTCCTGGTAGCTTAACTGGGCTCAAATTTAAAAAAGAAAAAAAAAAAAAAGCCTAGCAGTCATTTGTACATAGGGGCCTCTCGTGAGAACTGCACTTCAAAGAGAAGCTTGCACTGAACTACCTGCCACTATATTGAACTGCCTGCCTGCCCCGTGTTTCTGCCCTCTGAACCAGCCCTTGTAAAGGAGTTCCTGGAATCCTATTTCAACCAATAGAACTGAGGCTTTCCCCATCCAATAGGAGCTGGGAAGCTCTATCTTTATCAGCTTCTTCACCCATCTGTCAGAGTGGCTCTATATTGACCAAGCATGACATACCCCTTGGACCAATCAAACAGTGAAGATTTGGAGTCCTCATTTGCATAGGGACAGGTCAATCAGGGACCAGGGATGGGAACTTTTATATGTATAAATCAGCTTCTCATTGGCTCTGGGAGTGCACTTTCCCTTTCCAGTGAAGACTGTTTCCCTGGCTGAGCTGAAATGAAACACTGAACACTGTTGTCCAAGCAGAGTGGAGCCGACTAGCAAGGAGCAGAACAGAGCTGTCTAGCTGGAGAGAGGCCTAGCCCCAAGGCTGCCCACAGCTGTGCTATACCACAATTGAACTGTTTTGCACTGAATAAAGTTACCTTCTTTAGTGCACCCCAAATTGGGGATTCCTGTTGGTGTTGAATTGGAGCCAGTGAGCATCAGTTGACAGTTTTCTGCATACATAATCCCTAAACTTTATCATGTAGTGGTTTGAATTTATTTAAATTCAATTATTTCATACTTGGTTTATTTGGAGTAAATTCTGAAACTCATGATTTTGTGTACTTATTTCATTTTCATTATTATACAGGTATCCCTCACTTTCAGAAAGTTTGCATTGTGCACCTTCACTTTTACAAAAGACTTTAGTACCTGTTTTTACTACCAAAAAAAAAAAAAGCCATTAGTATACTAAAGTAGCCGGGTGAAATTAAATGATGTTTTGGAAAACAGGAGATACTCTTTACTTTTCATCATTTCAGCTTATGAAAGGTTTAATAAGCAATACTTAGCTAGTGGGGGAAATCTGTATATGTAAGTGTGGGTGTAGCACATTTTCCTTATTCATTGTACTGTTGATAGACATTTGAGTTATTTCCAATTCTTGGCAATTATGAATAATGCTGCTGAACCATTCTTATTCCTATCTCTTGATGCACACATGCATCATTTCTGTTGGGTGTATACCACGCTGACATATTGGACATGATCATTTGGATTTTTATTTTAACAAATATTTATTCTCTTCCCCCTTCAACTGTTGGCCAAGTTTACTTCTCTACCCCAATGATATTGTTCTAGGCTATGTGAATTTTTTGGCTGATAGAACATGAGCGGACATGATATAAACAGGAGTCTTAAGGATCTGTGTAAAGTCTGATTTGGCTCTTGAGCTTAGGTGATGCACATGAGGAGACTATGTCTCATGTGCCCATTCTCCTCCAGCCTGGGCCCTCAGAACAAACATATTTGGAGCAGATAGGAATGTAACCTGCAGCCCAAACCCACCTTAGATTTGCAGAATTTTAGACATCTGAAGATCAATGGGTATGAGAATTAATGCTGTTGTCATAAGCCATTGAGTTTGGGTAACTTATTATGCAGAATTATTGTAGCAATAAAGAAGGCTATGCTGCCCTGGCCGGTTTGGCTCAGCGGTTAGAGCGTCGGCCTGCGGTCTGGAGAGACCCGGGTTCGGTTCCAGCTAAGGGCACGTACTTCGGTTGCAGTTTGTCCCCGGCCCTGGTTGGTCGTGCGGGTGGCAGCCACTCGATGTGTCCCTTCACGTCGATGTTTCTCACTCTCTCTCCCTTCCTCTCTCTCCCTCCCACTCTATCTGTACAAAAATAATGGAAAAATATCCTCGGGTGAGGATAAAAAAAAAAAAAAAAAAAAAAAAAAAAAAGAAGGCTATGCTCAACTTTAATAGGTAATGCCAAACTTTTTGCAAATTGGTTTTACCAAGTTATATTTCCACAAGCAATATATGAAAATTCTAGTTGCTCTGCATTTTTGCCAACACTTTTAAATTTCAGCTCCGTGGGGCTGTGTTATGGTTTAAATTTGCATCACCTCCAACTTTGTTTTTTTTTCAAATGTGTTTTGGTTATTCTCTTTTGAATTTTTATATAAATTTTAGACTAAGCTTATAATTTCTACCTAAAAAAAAAACCAAAACAACTGTTAGGATTTTGTTTGGGGTTGTTTTATTTATTTTATTTTTATTTTTTATGGATATTTTCCCATTGATTTTTAGATGAGTGGAAGGGAGGGAGAGAGAGAAACATCGATTGGTTGCCTCCCACATGACCCCCACATGACCCTCAGCAGGGCATCAAACCTGCAAGCCAGGTACGTGGCCTTGATCAGGAATCGAACCTGAGACCCTTCAGTCCAAGGGCTGGCATTCTAACCGCTGAGCCAAATCAGCCAGGGCTTGTTTGGGATTGTTTAAAGTTCAGTTTGAGGAGAATTAACATCTTAATATTCTGTCTTCAAATTCATGAATATGATATCTCTAGATCTTTTAACATTTCTCTGAGCAACACTTATGGTTTTTAGTGTATAGGTCTTGCACACATTTTGTTATATTTATCTTTTTATGTCCTTTTTTAAAATGCTATTATTTGGACTGAAAGATTTCTTTAGGTATCTTATTATTATTTTTCTAATCCTCCCCCATTGCTTTCTACATAGAGTGGAAGGGAGAGAGAGAGAGAGAAACATCAATGTGAGAGAGACACATCTATTGGTTGCCTCCCACATGACCCCCACTGAGGCTGGGTATCAAACCCGCAACCCAGGTGCGTGCCCTTGACTGGGAATTGAAACTGAGATCCTTTGGTCCATGGGCCAATGCTGTAACTGCTGAGCCAAACTGGCCAGGGCTTTATGTCTTGATGGTATTTAAAAATTTTAATTTACAATGGTTTGTTACTAGTATATAGAAATACAATTGATTTTTTCATATTAACCTTATATCCTGCAAACTTTATCAACTCACTTATTAGATCCAATAGCTATGTATGTTTGTGTATTCGTCTTTCTAAGACAACCATGTTGACTGCAAATAAAAATACTTTTTTGTTGTTTCCAATAATATTTTTTTCCTTTTTGTATTGTTTAAGGCTTCTTAATATAGAAGGTGTTAACTTTGGTGCTCTGTGTCCTTTTTTAAGTCGGGGCTTTTTATTTTTTATTTCTAATTTTTGAGAGTTTTTATCATAAATGGGTGTTGAATTTTGTCTGCATCTATTGAGAGAATTATACAGTTTTTCTCTTTTAGGCTACTACTATAGTGAATTACATTAATTAATTTTCAAATGTTAAGCCAATCGAGTTTCTGGGATAAAACTAATTTAATTAGGATGAATTATCCTTTTTATATTACTGGACACAAATTGCAGGTATTTTGTTAAGGATTTTGGCATTTATGTTCATGAGGAATATTGGTCTAGGATTTACTTTTCTTGTAATGTCTTAGTTTTAGGTTTTGGTATCAGGGTCCTCTAGCCTCATAGAATGAGTTGGTAAGTATTCCCTTCTCTTTTCTTTTTCTTTAAATCCTTACCCGAGAACATGCTTATTGATTTTAGACAGAGGGGAAAGGGGGTGGGGGGAGATACATCGATTGGTTGTCTTCCCCTTCACACCTGACCAGGGATTGAACCTGCAACCTAGGTATGTGCCCTGACTGGGAATCAAACTGCAACCTTTCCATGCATGAGATGGTGCTCAACCAACTGGGCCACACTAGCCAGGGCTTTATGTGCATTTTTGACTGCTCAGAGGGTCAGTGCCGCTAATCCCCATACTGTTTTCAAGGGTCAGCTGTACAGGCTCTAGTATAACAAGCAGTTATACTAGTGTAGAGCTTTATCGTTACTCATTTTAGCTACCTTGAAATATTATTTTTAAAAGGTGGCCTGGTTGATAAGACTATCCAACATTTTACCCTTCATCTGCTTTCTTATTTCATTGAAAAAATACAGAGTATTTGCAAATAAACATTTTTTTCTGTTAGAAATTCCAAATATACTTTCACTCTGATTTATTATTGTATACACTATATATTTAAATTTACATTTAAGACCAAACCTCTCTTGTGTTACCTTTAATATTACTTTGAGTAACTATTGCAATGATTCTTCGTAGGATTTCACATAACACGTAGAAATTATGTCAGTATATTTTTATTGAATTTATTTTCTGTGCTTTTTTTTTTTTTTTTATCCTCACCCGAGGATATTCTTCCATTTTTTATACAGATAGAGTGGAGGGAGAGAGAGGAAGGGAGAGAGAGAGAGAAACATCGACGTGAAGGGACACATCGAGTGGCTGCCACCCGCACAACCAACCAGGGCCGGGGACAAACTGCAACCGAAGTACGTGCCATTAGCGGGAACCGAACCCGGGTCTCTCCGGACCGCAGGCCGACGCTCTAACCGCTAAGCCAAACTGGCCAGGGCTATTTTCTGTGTTTTATATTTGTCTTTTTGAGAATTTAAAGATGATCAGCCTGCATTTATGTAACTTTCATAAATGATAATGATTATAATTTATGGTCAAGCCACAATAATAAAATATCTTTTTTTCTCAGCCATAAAAATAAAATAAAGGAAGAATACTATCTCTAGTTTCGGATGACATGATCTGATATATAGAAAATCCTAAGGAATCCAGTAAAAGAACTACTAGATGTACTAAATGAGTTCAGCAGTGTTGCAGCATCTAAGATAAATATAAATAAATCAATTGTATTTGTATACATTTTCATGAACAATCTGAAGATAAAACTATGGAAACAATTTTATTTATAATAGCCAGAAGAACAGGATACTTAGGGGTAAATGTAACAAAACAAGTGCAAAACTTATACTTTCAAAACTACAAAACATTGGTGAAAGAAATTAAATAAACAACTGGGAAAACATCTTATCTTCTTGGATCAGAAGATATGGCATTGTTAAAATGACAGTACTCACCAAATTGATCTACAGATTACACACAGTCTCTATCATATTCCCAGATGACTGTAGAAATTGAAAAGCTAATTGTAAAATTCATATGAAATTGTGAGGGACCAAGAAAATCCAATAAACAATTCCGAAGAAGCAACAACAAAGTAGAGGGACTCATACTTCTCAACTTAAAACTTACTGCAAAGTAGTGACAAGACACTGAAGAAAAGGGAACCCTTGTGCACTGTTGGTGAGGATGTAAATTGGCGCAGCCACTCTGGAAAACAGTCTGAAGTTTCCTCAAAACATTAAAAATAGAACTACCATATGAGCCAGAAATTTCACTTCTGGGTATTTATCCAAAGAAATGAAAACACTTAAACTTGATAAACTTGATAAGATATATGCACCCTCAAGTTCATGGCAGTATTATTTAGCAACTTGTGTCTATTGATGGATGAAGGGATAAACAAAATGTGACACACACATACTGGAATATTGTTCAGACATAAAAAGAAGAAAATCTTGCCATTTGTGATGACATGACAACATGGATGAATCTCGAGGGCATTATAGTAAGTGAAATAAGCAAGATAAAAAACACTATGATCTCAATTGTATTTGGAATAAAAAAAGACAAAACAAAACAAAAATATAAACTCAGATACAGAGAACCAATTGGTGATAGCCAGAGGTGGGGGGAGAGAGAGAAAAGTATATGAAGGTGGTCAAAAGGTGCAAACTTGCCCTGGCTGGTTTGGCTCAGCAATTAGAGCGTCAGCCTGTGGTCCAGAGAGGCCCGGGTTCGGTTCCCGCTAAGGGCATGTACCTCGGTTGCAGTTTGTCTCCAGCCCTGGTTGGGTCGTGCAGCTGGCAACCACTCGATGTGTCCCTTTCACGTCGATGTTTCTCTCTCGCTCGCTCCCTCCCACTCTATCTGAACAAAAAAATAAAGTATAAACTTCCAATTATAAAATAAGTCATGGGTATATAATGTACAGTATAGTGAGTAATAATAATACCATGTTGTGTGTTTGAAAGTTGCTAAGAAAGTAAATTTTAAAAGTTCTGATCATAAGACAAAATTTGTAGTTATGTGCGAGCAATGAATGTTAACTAGACTTATAGTATGTTCATTTTACAATATATGCAAATATTGAATCATGTTTTATACCTGAAACTAATGCTATATGTCAATTATATCTCAAGAAAAAAGAAAAAAAGATAATTGAACCTAATATGAAATTAAAGTAGATTAACAAAAAAATAGACAAACTACTATTTAATGGCTATTTTAGGAACAATTCTGTTCCAGTTTAGAAAAAATTAACTTAGATCCTATACATTGCAACAAATTCCAGCTGGATAAAAGACAATAACAACAAAACGGAGTAATATACATATTCTGACTCTTGGTGGGGAAAAATTCTGAATATTGAAGAAAGAGGAAATACTTTCAAAACATATTTCTAAATACATAAAAAGTTTAAAAAGCGTTTCTGTAATTAACTATTGAAATTAAGCAACAGAATGAAGAAAAATTACAACATAATAAACTAATAAGGAATATTTGCTTTGTAATATTTTAGCAAATACTTATATACATACGTATATAGACTTAAGTGTATAAATATATATGTATTGTTTATAAATATGTATGGTATATGCATATATAAATAAGAACATGATTTATATTCGTATCTAGATATTTGTCAAGGAAAAAATTTTGAATACAAACATACAAGCACATGGCATTGTCATGGGGAAAACCTAACATCACATAGCAAATGTGTTAATTCAGCCCTGGCCTGTTGGGCTCATCAGTTAGAGTGTCGGCCCGAAGACCAAAGGGTCACCTGTTCAATTCCTGGTCAAGGGTAGGTACCTGGATTGCAGGTTCCATCCCAGGTCCCAGTCGGGGTCATGTTGGGGGCAACCAATTGATGTGTGTCTCTCACATTGAGGTCTCTCTCTCTCTCTCTCCCCCCCTCCCTCACTCCCTTCCCCCCTTCCACTCTTTCTCTATTTTTTAAAAAATCAATGGAAAAATATCTTCAGGTGAGGATTAACAACAACAAAATATATTAATTCAAATATGTACTACATTTAGTAAAGAAACTTGCAAAGAAAATTCAAGAGCCTAATTTTGGTAGACAAATCGAAAAAAGGGTACAAACACACATTGTTAATAGGCTTGAAATGTCATTCCTAGGCCTGGGGTTCCCAATTCCCAGCAGCTTTGGATTCTGACAGTGCTCAAACCCTGCTCAATACCTGCCTATTGTCTGGACTGGACACTCAAGTCCTCAGGAAAGCCTCTGCCTGGCTGATCCATCAAACCGTCTGCTCTCTGCTTGTCCTTATGCGTTTCCAGAACAGACAATTCCTGATATTTTTACTTTCTAGACCAAATTACCTTCTACATTAGACTCAGATCAAGTCAGAGTGGGTAGGGAAAAAAAAAAAAAAGTTCCCTTATTCAATTGCCAACTCAGTCATTTGGAAACAGGTTATTCATTTCTGTCATAAGATTTGGAAAGGCATATTTTTTTGTTTTTATTTTTTAACGAATGTGAACGATTTGGAATTTATGACTTCCTCTCAAAAGTCGAAAGAAACAGGGAGTGTGTCAGCTCCAGTAAGAAGTTCATCTTTAAAATTAAAGCATGTAGGAACTCTGGAGCTTCGCCAAGTGCGATCAATGCAAAGGATGGCAGTGCCTATGGACACACGGACACATGTTTTTTGCACATGGCACATGTTTGCACTTGGACACCCTCTGCACATGGAAACACGGGCACGTTTTAATTACACGTGTACACATATTTTGCACACGGACATATGTTTTGCCCAGCTAAGCAAGGCGGCAACGACAGCAGAGTTGGACGCAGATGACCGCGACGCGGCGCTGGCCCCGAGTCCCGCGAGGCGCGCCAGCACGACCGGGGAACTACAATTCCCGGCGCTCGCGACCATCTCCGCTGGAGGCCCTTGTCCCCAGCACCGAGAGTCGTCCAGATACGGGGCTGGGGGTGCGTGGCAGCAAGCGACATGGAGTCCCGGACCGCGGACGGCTGCTTCCTGGGCGATGTGGGTACGTGCGGGGCGCCGCGGCTGGTGCGGGCGCGGGGCTGGGGCCCAGGGATTATGGAGCTGGGGGCCGGCAAACGAGCGAGGACGGCGGGAGCCGGCTCTCAGGGACTGAGGACGTGCATCTGATGACGCTGACTTTGTGATTGGTGGGGCGCCCTCCGAATGTGTCTTCAGAGGCGGTTTGGTGGGCCCTGTTTGGAGGACTGTGTTCTTAAAGGAGCAAGGTCCGGTGATCCCATGCTTTCAGACCTGGTTTCTGTGACCCCGGCGTCCCCCACCAGCACGTCGCAGGGCTGGTCATCATTGTGACGCGACAGCAGTGGGACTTCCGAACTGCAGACCCACCACCAGAGCTCTGGCAACCTTGAGGAAGATGCGGGGTGGGGGTGGGGTGGGGAGGCATTGCCAAGTTGGAAGAGAACCTAGGAAATGCCCATGAGGGCAGCCCTGGTATGAGCCCAGGGTGGGAGCTGGAACATCTTCCAGGAGCCCTGTGAGAAGGCAGTGCTCCAGTGTCATTAGCATCCCCCACATACACCCAGGTGTGACAGAAGGAATCAGCTCCAGAAGGAGGCTATGCCCTTGTGACATATATCACACTGTGTAAAAAAATGCAATCTTGCTTCTTCACTGATTTCTTCTTTATCAGTTGGGCTACCCGAGTATGAAATGGATTTGAGCGCAAAGGGACATTCTTTCTGGAAGCAAAGGTTCCTGCCTGTGAAGGAAGACTATGACAGTGGTTGCTCTCTAGCTACCCCAGTGAGTCCTGCCCTGCCCGCACCTCTTCAGGCCACGTGGGCCACAGCCCGAGGATTCTTAACATTACCTTCTTCTGCCCCACCCTAGAATCACTGTGAAGTTTCATGATTGGCTTAAAGTGAAGGAAATAAAAGTAAAATCACTTGGGGTAAAAAAAAAAAAAAAAGACTACAGCAAATAAAATGAGCAGTGAAAGCTTTTTGAAAGCCTGGAAAGAAAACAAAATGTAAAGTATGTAAAGTATTTCTACACTTCTAAAAACATTAGTGGGAGTAAAAGTGAAGTTTTGAAGGTAAAGTTAGCTTAAGGGGAATTGCACTCATAGCAAGGCAAAGATATTTTAATTGATTTTGCAAAAGAACCACCTTCAACATGATCAAAAGCATTTAATAAACATGTTTTTACTTGGCATTCCACCCTAGACAGCCACAAGACTTTGACCCTGCCAATGTGATCTATATTTGATTGGATCAGTTAAATAAGCAATGAACAGCTAATCATGGAAGCTTATTAAAACACATTTTAATATTTTTTATTCATGTAGAGCATTCAGTAGTACAGCATAACTTCGGAAGTTTTTTCATTTTTGCAGAGTTTAAGGAATGTGTCTTTAGAAGGAAAGCACATTCTAAATGAATGGATGCACAGCTTCTGGGGTTCATGGATATTTTTGGCTGTTTTACTATATTTCTCCAAGATATGTCCTGCTGACATTTCTAATCTCAACACTAATGAATAAACTGAATGTGTTAAATCCAAAACAACACTGCTATCCCAGCAGAAATACAGGCCCATCATAGGGTCATTTTAACATCTGATCTCAAATTCTATATGTGTGTGGTGTACTCCAACCAAAGCATGTAAGTTTTCCAGTTTTTAAAATAACACCTCACATAGGTGAAGATGGCAGAGTTTTACAATATGGCCTTGTCAATAAATTCAAATGATTTGGGGCAAGCCACATCCTAAAGTGAATCTGATGTTTATAACTTAGCAAATATAAAAGTGTTATTGATTCAAGGTAAGTGTCTCTTTGCAAAGTTGAAAAAGTGATCCCTCTACTCAGCATCTGTCCTCAAGAGCTTCTGACTTGGAAGTAAGAGGTTGGCAGAAGAAGAAAGGGAGCTTTAGAGAGTTTGGGTTCTAAGCAAGGTGAGCTGCTGAGTTCTTCAGTTATCCTTAGCCAAGAATTCTAAACACAGTTCATTGCTGTCTGCAGTGTTCAGAAGGTGAGAGAGATGGAGAGAGAAAAAGGAAAGGCAGTTCCTGGACTGTAACAAGAGCCATTGAGCTTCTAGGTTATATGCCAGTACTACCCATAAGCCCTAGGAGAGCTGCTAGACAGTCATCATTGTTTTTTTTAATCTTCACCCAAGGACATTTTTCCATTTATCTTCAGATAGAATGGGAGATAGAGAGAGAGAAAGGAAGAGAGAGAGAGAAACATCGACGTGAGAGAGACACTTTGACTGGTTGCCTCCCACATGATCCCCACCAGGGCCAGGGACCGAACTGCAACCGAGGTACCTGCCCTTGACTGGAATCAAACCTGTGACTCTTCAATCCACAGGCCGATGCTCTAACCACTGAGCAAAACTGGCCAGGGCTCCTCCCCCCTTTCTTTTGTCTTATCATTGTTGATAATTTAAGGCAAAACTGAGTTCACACAGCTGGAAAGAAGTAAAGCTGAAGTTTAAACCCAGGTGGGGTTTTTTGTTCTTTTTGTTGTCGCTTATATTACATTAAAAGGTTCACACCATTCCCATCAAATAGGTCTGTTTCTAATAGATCCGTAGGGCTATTGAAGAGCTGGCCTGGTTTCGAGACTAAAGGGACAAATATGTCTGCTGTGGGTTTCTCAGGAGAACTGGGTGTGCTTTACCACGTACTCGCCATCTCCTCATTGTCTTTCCTGCTGTGAGAAATGTAATTTGCCTCAGGGGTCTACCGTCAGAAGAATCCCAGTGCCTGGGAATCTATATACAAGTTCATCTCTCTGTTGCATGTGCAGAATTTGATTTTTTAAAAATACAATTGTATTGAAAGCACCTTGAGAGATCTAGATAATCAATGCCCTGGCTGAGAAATCAACTTCTAAATCTTCTCAAATTGTGTTTCTGTTTCTGCCTTAGAGAAAGCTGCATTCTAGAATTCTCTAGTAATGTCCCTTAGTAGAGAACACTTTCACTGTGTTTTACTGCTAACAAAAACATCTGAAGGAAATCTATTTAGGATCATTTTAACACCAGTTGGGATTCTGAGGCAGTCTCTGGCCGATAGTGGCTGCCATCTATAGTAGTACAAATGGTATAACTTTACTGCCTTGGAGAATTGGAAGAGGTTGGGAGTTTCTCTAGCTGGGGATTAAGGAACAGTAGATAAAAGCAGGTGTCTTGGGCTAGATCACAAAGGTCCTTCAAGAGGAAAGGAGAAAGAATAGCTAGCTCTGGGAATCTGGTTCCAAGACCCAGTGGAAGGTAAAGACAGTACTTTCCTGCAATAGAGAAATAACTACACAGTGATTAGAAATCTTATCTGCACACTGGAATGACTTGAGGATCTTAAAAAAAAAATGCTGATGTGCCTGGCCAGTGTGGCCCAGTGGATTGAGCATCGTCCAGAATCCGGGTCAGGGCACATGCCCAGGTAGGTAGGGCTCAATCCCCAGTAGGGGACATGCAGGAGGCAGCCAATTTATGTTTCTCTCTCACATCGATGTTTCTATCTCTCTCCCTTCCTCTCTCTCTAAAAAATCAACAAAAACTTATATGTACCCCTATGTTCATAGCAGCACTATTTACAATAGCTAAGATCTGGAAACAACCCAAGTGTCCATCAGTAGATGAGTGGATAAAAAAGCTGTGGTACATGTACACAGTGGAATACTATGCAGCTATAAGAAAGAAAGATCTCTTATCCTTTGAGATGGCATGGGAGGACCTGGAGAGTATCATGCTAAGCGAAACAAGCCAAGCAGAGAAAGACAAATATCACATGATATCACTTATTTGTGGAATATAATGAACTAAAGAAACGGCTGAACAAAATTAACCAAGAGACATGGAGGTGGGGTACAGGCTGACAAGCCTCAGAGGAGGGTGGTTTGTGGGAGAAGAGATAAACCACAGAACTTACATGCATGTATGCATGACCAATGAACATAGACAACAAAGCTGGTGATGGGTTGGGGTTGGGGAGAGGAGAAAGATGTCAATGGGGGAAGAATGAGAAACATCTGTAACAAAGACAAATTAATAAATTAAAAATTTTTAAAAAATCAACAAAAACATATTAAAAAAAAAAAAGATAAATGTAATTTCTAAAAAAAAATGCTGATGCCCCTGTCCCAACCCCATAGATTCTGATTTACTTGTTCTGGAGTACAGCCTGGCTATCATATGTTTTAAAACACCCCAGATGATTCTAACATGCAACCCAAGTTGAGAACCACTGAAGTAGAGGAAGTCTTCACCTATTGCATCCTGAAAAATTTGAGTAAATCTGGAACAGTTCTGTGAAAGCAGGGGGGAGAAGGGAATGAACACGAAGCAAACCCAAACACGTCAGCACAAAAAAAAGGTACATTTTTGGTACAGAATTGAATAAATAAAATGAAATTGGGCTGCATGTCACAATATAGTGAGAGATTTAAGCTTCTTTAATAATTACAGTTATCTTGGATAGAGACCCTGTGTGTCAAGCAGGAAGATAAGTTTATCAACTAGTTCACTGCTCTGTGAAAGCTTGCTGTGGAAAAGTTGCATTGCTGTACCTAGGAGACACCCAGTCACCTTCTTGGGTTTTCTCCTTGTCTTTTTAGCCAGGTGTTGTTTTCAGCCCTATTCTTGGGGTGTGTTGCTTCTGCAAATGACTTCATTCCTGTTTTCCTTACTAAGTCTTCCTTAAGAAGAGGGCAATCTTCCTCCAAGTTCTAGGAGTGGACTCTCATGTTGCCCCATCTGTCCTAATTTTTATAATGAATTTAGGGCACAAAAGGGAAGAGTAATCAATTTAGAATCTAAAAGGGCAGTGTCTATCTAAATTAACAGGCAGGATAAAAATACAATTTTTTTCTTTATAATGATTTGTATGTTCAGTAAATTCACAACTCTTGAGAAGCTGGTGAAGTTGTTTTGTGAAATTTTGGCTAAGGAATTCTATGGCCTTCTCCTTCTCCTTGTCTTTTGGGTTGCTTTGTTCCTCAGCTGCCGGCAGGCCCCAGGCAGTGTCCAGCTTGGG